GAAAGGAATCGTATGAAAATATCCTCAGTGACTCACTTGGAATCGTTGTTTATGACGTCATTGTCCGCTTGGAATCGCGATTCCCGGTATTACACAAGAATAGGATTCCCTATATTACACAAGCATAGACAAAATTACCAACGTCACTTGGAATACTAAAACATCCAACATCCTCAATGACTCACCAACCCCCCCCCGGTATTACACAAGAATAGACAAAATTACCAATGTCACTTGGAATACCAAAACATCTAACATCCTCAGTGACTCGCCAACCCCCCCACTTGGAATCATTGTTTATGATGTCATTGTCTGCTTGGAACCGCTTGGAATCACGATTCCAGGTATTACACAAGAATAGACAAAATTACCAACGTCACTTGGAATACCAAAACATTCTCAGTGACTTGCCAACCGATATTACACAAGAATAGGATTCTTGGTATTATGCAAGAATAGACAAAATTACCAACGTTACTTGGAATACCAAAACATCTAACATCCTCAGTGACTCACCAACCCCCCCCCCCACTTGGAATCGTTATTTATGACGTCATTGTTCCCTTGGAACCGCTTGGAATTGCGATTCCCAGTATTACACAAGAATAGGATTCTCGGTATTACACAAGAATGGACAAACTTACCAACGTCACTTGGAATACCAAAACATCCTCAGTGACTTGCCAACGCCCCCACTTGGAATCGCTATTTATGACGTTATTGTCCGCTTGGAATCGCAATTCCCGGTATTACACAAGAATAGGCTTCCTGGTATTACACAAGAATAGACAAAATTACCAACATCACTTGAAAGACCAAAATATCCTCAGTGACTCGCCAACCCCCACTAGGAATCGCTGTTTATGATGTCATTGTCTGCTTGGAATCGCGATTCCCAATATTACACAAGAATAGACAAAATCGGCAATTCTCTTTTAGAATCGGGCGATTCCCAGTATTATACAATAATACTTGGAATACCAAAACATCCTCAGTGACTCGCCAATCCCCACTTGGAATTGCTGTTTATGACATCATTGTCCACTTGGAATTGCGATTCCTGGTATTACACAAGGCGATTCCCGGTATTACACAAGAAATAGGCTTGGAATCGTGATTCCCAGTATTACAAAAGGCGATTCCTGTTATTACACAAGAAATAGGCTTGGAATCGCTGTTTATGACGTCATTGTCCGCTTGGAATCGCGATTTCTAGTATTACATAAGGCGATTCCCGATATTACACAAGAATCGACACGAGTATTGTTCAAAATTGGCGATTCTCTTTTAGAACCGGGCGATTCTCGGAATTATACAAGAATAGACACGGGGTGATCAATTCTCGTGTCGACTAGGGCGAGTCCGTTGCGACTCACCGATTTTTAAAACACTGCTTTTATTGACATGCAATTTGAACTTTAAAATTTTATAATTAGAAATAAAAACATATTCTCGAGCCATTCTAAGAAATTTCGATGTCAAAATTGCATGTTAGGAAAAGGTTAGGAGGTGTTTTAGGTTGCAACATTATGCAAACCACACCCTCATAAATTGAGTTTTACTTGATAGAGTAATTTTACAGTATAGTCCCACTGGCGCATGAAATCCCTTCGCAGAGGGAACAAAAGAAAGGTAGAGGGCGTTTCCGTCATTTTTGCTGCTCGCACGAAGATGAAAAAGGAGAGGGAAGCTAAAAAATTCAAAAGAAATTTAAACCGCCAAATGCGAAACTAGATTTGACGGTCCTGATAAGCCTAATCGTCTCCCCATGAATCAATAGGCACCGTTCAATGAAGCATATATGCAAGTGGCTCTGGTTTTGGTTATGGGTCCAAGTTTTTCAGGTCCATGGCGATGGCGACGGCCTTCATTGCACTCCAATGCTGCCAGTGCTCCACCATGCAGGAAAGATTTCCCTCACTTTTTTGAGAGAGAAAGTGATGATAAAGTTTTGCTCAATCTTTTAGAGAGAGAATGCTGTGAAACAGAGGGACTTGCTAAATTGAAGAGAGAGAGGATGAAGTTTTGCTCAATCTTTTAGAGAGAGAATGAGTGAGAGAAAGCGTGCGGCTTCGTAAATTGAAGAGAGAGACAGAGAGAGATCCCCTGCATCCCATGTTCTCAACCCTAATTGATCCTGTTTCGCCATTGTTACAGGTCAAGCAGCAGAAGAAGAGCAGCAACAAATGGGTGTGCGTGGTGTGCAACCAAAAGCAATCAATTCTGAAGGTCTTTGCTCGCTCTTTCATGGCCAAAGACGTCAGAAAATTTGTCCAGAGCTGTAACATGACCAGAAGCTTCACAGATCAAGCTTTGATATCTCTGGGAAATGAAAATCAGGTTCCGGAAAATGGTTTTCAGGTAATGGAAGACCAGTTTTCTGGTGACATTTACAGTCAGAGCAAGTGGTCTGAGTACTTAGATGAAGAAGACATAAAAAAAACAGAGGTGGAAGAGGAAGAAGATAGGGGAGACGAAACTCCAAGTAAATTTTCTATGCCGATTTAGGTTTTAGTATTGAACCGTAATTTCCAAGGGATTTCAGTTTTTGGTTTAATTTTCGTGAGGATTTGAGATTTCGGATAAATTGTGATAAAAATGAGTAAAATTTTTTACGAAATGGTGTAGAATTTGAATTCTGGGAAAATCAAAGCGAATAGACATGCAAAAATGTCAGAATTTTGGCCAAATTTCTGAGTGAAATGTATGTGAAAATCAGGCAGTTTATCTGAAGTTTTTCAAAATTTAAATAAACTATGCTTCCTTATCAAAATTTGGATAATTATGGTGGCACTTTGCCAATTTTGGAGGACATTATGGCCAAATATGGGTATTTTTATTCAAGTTTCCCCAAATTTCAATGATTTTATCCTTTGTATTATAATTTTCAGGTGAATTTGTCCTGAGTTTGCCTAATTTAGGGGAATTTTGGTTAAAATTTGGTGTCTCCAATTCGAAAATTTTCCAATCCTCAGCAATTTTATTTTATTTTCTCCAAAATTGAAGTGCCGTTTACTGAACTATGCCAATTTGTTGTTATTCTGACGAATACAGTTTCTTAATTTCACTTATTCTATTTTTCACTGTTAAACACTCATATGAAATTTGCCAAGATATTACTAACCCTGGAGATTTTATTTGAACCAAAATTCCTGCTATTGTAAGCTTAATTTACTCGCTAAATAAGGTTATAATTCCCTGAATTTTGATATCAGTGTTGGAAAATTCGGGTGACTCCACTCAGGCTCGACACTGTGCCTAGCCCAAAATCAGACTTATGGAAAATGGCAGAGTTTGGGCAGTTCTCAGTATCTCTTTTTTTATTTAGTTCGATTTGGCTGAGCCCCTGAAAGACTCAGCCGAGTTTTTCAGATCTGATTCAGGTGCAAGACCGTAGTAAGTATCTACTTGAGTGATTGTCATTAAAGATGTTTGAAACAATGCCTCCTTCCTTAAAGGTCTGTACTGATGAGTAAGTTATCTCATATAAAAACCATCAGAAAACTGATATGGATGGAATTTTGAAACAATGCCTCCTTCCCTAAAGGTCTGTACCTATGATAAGTTATCTCATATAAAAACCATCAGAAAACAGATATTGATTTTCCATCCACCCTGACCAAAGTTCCACCTGGGTTGATGGTAATCCTGGTTTCACCTTAGATAAGCTTACTAACTTGTGGAACGTTTGATTGATGATCATACTTCCAATGGTTTTTCCATGACAAGTCTTTCTCTTAGTATTCAATCATCATCATCATCATCAGAGCCTCTTCCCAGCTGCACGAATTCAGGTCCACCATTATACAGGGCCATACCATCAGCGAGGCCACAAATCCCCGTACCTTTTCGCATTACTTCCACGCTTATGATTCAATCTCCTTACTCATGTACTTTAACATGTCTATACTGATAATTAAGAAGTTAGAATCACCTTTTTGAATGTTACTTAAAATTACCTCTCTCTCTCTCTCTCTCCTTTTACATTGGCATCTGTGGTGATATAGGGATAGTTACTGAATATCGAAAAGAGTTGTTCAAGAGAAGCAAGCAGAGAACCTCTATGAATTTGCAGAGCAAAGAGACCAGGTCCAACTTCAAGCCTGTTTTCTCAAAAAGGAAAGAAAGATCAACAGCACAAGGTATGTATTCTATTCTTTCACTCGGGTTCCCTTGATTTCCTGCAAAAATATCATCAACCTTTTCTTGGTTTATAGAGAACTTTTAATAGCATGAACAGCAAATTGTAAAGTGTGAAAGAGTGATGAAAAGAAGTTGCATAATTAGCAAAGCTACTAATCGTACTTCATAAATGAATCAGAGGACCTTAATCTCAGTCTTTATGAAACAACAAAAGAAAAAAGAATGAAATCGAGGACCTTAATCTCACTCTTTATAAAACAACAAGAGCAAAAAGAATGATGTCATCCAATTCTTTTAGAAATTTGGGTTTAAATCTGTGGCACTGAACCCCATTTTCATTATTTCTTTGAGAAGTGTTTTATTTTTTATTTTCACTATTCTCCTGTATATTTTATACAGGATCCATGGCTTCAGAACCTCAAAATTCTCTCAGAAAACGCCCATGTAAATGGAGCGATTACCTGGAAGAAAATGGCAGTCAAATTGGTGAGTTTACAATAGAATCAGAAGCCCAAGACTGTAGTGGAGCAAATGTGATGACCCATTTGCATGATGAAGTATTTGAGGAAGATATTCATCCTGATTTTAAGTGATCGTACTTTCTTAAATGATATGACAGTCAAATCCTGGCACAAAATTAAAATTTAAGCCAACCCCAAATGTAATTCATAGAATGTTCATCTACTAAAGAGGAAGAACAGAGATTTGGAGTACAGGTATCATGTTTCACATAGTTTTGGCCTTTCTGTTATTCTTCTTTTTGGATTTTTGTATGTTTCTGATAGTACACCTCTATTAAGCCAAGGAAGGATGGGCCCGTAGATAAAGCAAATTAGCAATGATCTTGTGGGTGAGTTAAGGAATGGACTGTTTGGATCAGCCAAGTTGTATGATACCCACAAAATTCTCTTTAAATCATTTTTATTTTGAGTTGTCTTAAAATATAAAATTTGCCCCAAGAAAGGCCGACAGTTTTAGAAAAATTTCTAGATTGAAAATCCTAGAGAAGATAGAAACCCTAACCTTTTGAAATCCTAATCTTAAAGATTGAGAAAACTTAGACCTAAGGCACAAAAACCTTTGATCAAAATTAAAAGCACGAGAGGGTCGAGCCCGAAGTGGTCATGGTAGGAGATCTAAGAGAGAGAGTTGTTGCTGAGGTACCAGGGCAGCCCAAGGTTGCCCCTGAATCTGGGGACCTTGAGACCTTGGCTACAACTGGGGATCCTCCCACTGTGGTCGCTCCCACTATACGACCTTTTATTATCTACTAACAGAACTGCCTAATTAGATTGGGAATTACCGATCTTAATCAGCCCAATAACTGGATGGTTCACTGAGATCAAGGTTGTCAAACACTAGTACTTTAATTAAAGATGGCCCTCTGAATAGATTACTTACAACAGTGTTGAAAAAAACTAGATTAAGGGGCCGAATCAGTCACCTGTTGGTTCCTAGATTTAGTGAATGGGCTGACTTGGATCGCCACACTAAATTGACGAAAAACTATTAAAAACCTTTAAAAATGAAAATAAGTTTTGTGAAAATTTGATGAGTTTGTTGCTTTGACTAAATTATACACAAAGTTGAGAATATTGAGAGTTTGGTTCATGTCTCCCCTCATAGTTTAAAATATAGTACATATCAGGGGGAAAAAGTAAAACAAAAAGCAAAAACAAGAAAATCTAAATCCCACCGACCTAACAAAGTAAAACACAATAACAATAAAATCTTAACCATAGCTAACAAAAGGAATTAACATAAATATTTATAAAAAAATTTGCATTTCCTTAAAATTATTCAAGAAAACCTAGATTGAGCCACAATAAATGTATATAATATAAAAAAAAATCATATATTATTATATGTGAATCTTAAACCATCTATGTCAAAATCCCTCCAGAAATATTTTGCTTTAAACTCCACAAATTTCAGATTAGAGGAAAACTTTCTAGAAAAAACCTAAATCAAGCCAAAAAAAAGAAAAAAAAAGAAAAAAAAAAAAAAGAAAAAGAAAAAAAAAAAAGAAAAAAAATAAAGGAAAAAAAATAAATATATATATAAAAGATACCAAATGACTGGTTTAACTGAATCCTAACTCCGTGATCAAAATCCTCAACTAAATCGTTCATTGAAACTTCTTAAACTTCGGATTAGAATTGTGAGCATCAATGTGGAATACTTTTGATGGTAGTTATCCTCATATGCTTGATTCGAGCTTAAGGACTCAAATACGTTTGAATTGAAACAAAATTTGAGGTTATTTGGTTGTGATTCATGGGAGAACCTAATAGTTTGGGGATGGTGTTTTTGATCCCTCAAAACATGTAATTTTTATGAAATAATAGGAAATCGAGACTGTTAATCTTGTTTTGAATCAATATAAGTTCAATTTACGTTCATGTGGGTTGTGGGTTATAATATAATGTAGGATCAATTATTGATCCAAAGAAAAAAGCTAAACAGATGAATTTACCATGACTGGCAACAATTCCCCTTCTGAATCGGACCCGTTCATTTCCAGTACCGATTCGACTTGGTCCGTTTTGAGTCGAAGAGGCTATTTTTTGAAACACTGATTTACAATAAGATTTAAATGACCTTGTGATGTATTTTCATTCCTATTATAGTATTAATGTGGAGATACCAAGGAGCCATGTGAAAAAAGGGATATCAAATTTTCCCAGTCTCTAACAAATTCGTTCAAAAAGAAATTCTCAAATAAATATTGAGCCAAGATTTAAGAAGTAATTTGGACCACCAAAGGATGACAATGAATATAGAAGATGGGAAGTTGAATTCCAAAGCCCTTTTGAAAAACCTTTTAATTGATCATCTTGACATCAAGGTGTATGAATATGAAAAAAAAAAAAAAAAAATTTGAGTCCTAGAGATAATGCATCTGACAATACATTATCTAGACGGTTCGTTTTCAAAATTTTCATATATTTATAGATTTATTGATTTTAATTATTTTTAGAGTTTAAAATTTTATAATTAGATATAAAAATAGATTTTCATATAATCCTAATAATTTTTTACAGTACAATTACATGTTATAATAAAATTTGAAGGTGCGTCTTAATTGGATTGTTTAAGATTGCAACCTTATAGAAACTAGTCCCTATATATATATAGCATAGTTAGCAAGTAGAATTGAGTTGGGTATATTCATTTCTCTCTATTTATGGTGACCGTCCATTTATAACCATAGTTAAGCAATAGGAAGATGTACACCTTTTTTTGTTTAGACAATCAATAAATGCAGTAGACCAAGAAGAAATACAGAATAAGAAGACGAGCATTACGCAAAGTGAGAGATAAATAAATACAAAATCTTCCATAAAGAATGATAGAGAGAACATGCATAGGCAACAGTGAAACACGATGGACATAAAATCTTAGAGAAGATGAAGAACATTGTGGACATAAACCCTAATCCAAGATTTTCAGTCATGAATGAAGTTTGGGGATTGAGCTCTAATCTGGTTTTTGTTTTTAAGCTTTTGTTTTAGTGATTTAAGATGTTGTACAAATTGTGATAATCTAGGTCTTTGAGCCCTAATTTGGATGGATTTTTTGGTAGAATTTTGCCAGTTAAAATTTGAGGATTTTTTATTCATTGGTTTTTATGGTATTTTATTCTAATTTGATTCAATGGATTTGACCATAAACCCAAAGATAATAAACCCTAACAATATACTCGGGGATAAAAATTTATTGTTTAGGTTTTTTTTTTTTTTGGAAATAATATACTTTTTAGAAAGCACGGAAATAACAATTACATAAAATAGGAATTTTTTTTTTCATCTTTTAGAAAAAAAAAATACATGTAAAAAAGGTAAAGTTTTTTTGGACCGATTTTTCATAAAGATCAATAAGGCGCGTTTTAAACATTTATGTAAAAAAGAAGCATATTTTTGTCGATCTTTTCAAAAAGTCGCAGTTTTAAACGTTTTTGAAAAAAACTCTCTATTATTTAAAAAGTCGCGTTTTAAACGCCGACTTGTTAACTATGATATATAGGAGATTAATGTTATTTATTTTACCTATAAATACAAGGGGTCGGGGGCCACTCAAACCCCTCGCTAACTTAACGAAAAAAAGAAAAGAAAAATGGACATCAAAGGTGATGGCACTTTGGGAATAAACTGATATTGTTCATTAGAGTATTAAATTTTCACAGTAAATGGCATGGATTAGCATTTTTAGAATATCTAGACAATGTTATTTCATTGGCAGGTTTTAGAAACTTTGATTTCTCTTGGGAATACTTGGGAAGTCTCAAGAAAAAACATAAAAATGAGTAGATATAGAAACTGTGGGGTGTAAAAGGAAATAATGTTCGGGGTTGTTTTGATAGATTTGTTATCAATCGTAATTCACTATTTTAATAAAATTAATCATATTAATTCACTATTTTAATGAAATTCACTGTTTTGATAGTTTTGCATGAGTTTATCGTTTTAAAAAAGCTCTTCCCACTTTATTCTAAGTGATTTATTGAAGGGTGCGGTTTGTATAGAGTTGAAGCTTTAAACAATCAAAGTCAAGTACACCTTTAAATAGTGTTGAGAAATGTGATTGCAATGTTGGAAATCTTTGTGATAGCTTTAAAATATATGTTCATCTTTAATTATAAAATTTGAAGCTTAAAAAATAGTATAGATCAAGTATATCTTTGAAAACTTAAAAATCTTGAAAATCGATAGTCCAAAAATGTGTCACAAGATGCACTATTTCTAAAACTTGAATTCCATTTTTTTCTCATCTCCATGCATTTGTCGAGATGATCTATTTGATTATATTTGGGCATCAAAACAACCTACTCTAGTGAAATTTTTGATGTGGACTCTAATTTGATTGTTTAGGGCCTAGGCTCTATATAAATTTTTTCCTTTATTGAAATCACATTCTTTTTTCCAGATATTATTAAAAATAGTTGAAAAAGTTTAGGAATAAATAAAAATGTATATAACTAACTCATACTTGTTAGGAGGTGTGAGTTAATTCAAGTAGAAGATTAAAAAAGGGCGACAGGTAAAGGCCCAAAAGGCATGTTTGGAGATAGTGAGAAAATATATAAGGACTTGGAGCAAAATAGCGAACCAAGATTCGTGTAGTTGACATCAAATAGTTGGAAAAAGGATTTGATTATGATGATGATGATGATGGTATCACATAGTTTGCGATAAACAACTAAAATATAATATAATACAAAATATATTAATTTCAAAGAGATAGTTTAGTCTTAAGAGGTGGCACCTATAATGAATGGTAGCAATATAGGTGGAATCCCAATCGTCAAAACTTTTTCGGGTTGTTGATAGCTTTCAAGCTCGGATCATCAAACTTGAGAGCCCACTGCAAATTTGGCAAATTAGACCACAAAACCATGCGGTGATCTTTCATCAAAAAAAAAAAAATCCCATCTCCCTTGTTAATATTGCATATAATTACCCTCTGCCTTTATAAGACATGGACAAATACGTTATGCAAGACTTCCTCACTCTGTGATCAATAAATCACTGTTTAACAGCTACTCATCACAACATGTTGCTCTTGGTAAACTTGCAACTAGTCTGCAAATCCCATTCAAATCTCACATCATCTCCTAATACATTCCCTTTAGCAAAATAATGCCTACCTCAAAGATAGATTCCATTTTGATTAAGATTTGATCCAAAATGCGAGTTCGTCGCGAAAGGCACCACTATGGGAACCTTCAAATCTCTTGAAATTTTAAAAAATGGTTAGTTCTAACCTTAGCCCCCTGTCAAGACTTGAACCCATTTGATCCAACCGTGGACAGTTCACCGCGAGAGGCCGTAATGCGGCCTCTACAACTCGCAGTGAAC